CGGCGGGAAAGACCGCGCACGCGCAGAGCCCAACGGGAGGGGGCGCGGAGAGCTGCGCACGCAAGCGCGGGGGCTCGACGGGGAGCGGGAAGGGCCACACAGGGCGCGCAAAGAGGGTACGGGGAGCTGGAAGGCTCACCCGGAGCACGCGAAAAGTGGCGCGTGCGCGCGGGGCGCGGACGGGAAGCGGGAAGGGCCGCGCGACCGCCTCGTGCGTTCGGGACGGGGCGCGCGGAGGCCGGAAACGAGCAGAACTCGGGCCCGGCCCATCCCCTCCAAGCCCGGGAGGCGCTGCCCGTTTGGCGCCCCCGGCAGCCTCCCCCGCGCCCGCGCCCCAGACAGACCCAGGGAGGGGAGGGACCCCGGAGGCGCCCGCGAACCCGGGCGGAGGCGGAGCGACGCGCGGGCCCCGGCCCCGAAGAGACCCGGGCGCCGGCGAGGGGAAAGATGGAGCGCGAGGAAGTCGTCGGGGAGCGCGGAGACACAATACTTACCCGTCCATTGCACACAGAGGAGACCCGCAGGGGACGGAGTGGAGGCGCCGGAATAGCAGGAACCGACCCAACGGCTCCGAGTTATAGACTCACAAAATGGCGGAGACGCCCGAACACGTCCCCCGCGCGCTCTGCCCATTGGCTCCCGCCACGGAGAGGGGGCGGGGCGGGCGCCGCGGGCCCCTGCCAGCGCCTCCCAATGGCTAGGAGGCCGCTCGAAGGGTGGAGCCAAGAGGAATGGCAGGCGGCCATTGGGGAAGGCGGCCGTCCGTCAGGGCTCGAAGCGGAAACGACCCGTGGAGACGGGGGAGGGGAGAAAAGGCGGGATCATATCACGGAGCCTGAGCCAGTGAGCGAGCTGCTCTCCTGCGTGGGGCTTTGCGGGAGAAGCCATCTTGAGAGTGGGTACGTGGCGAGTCAGGCGGCGGGAAGCTGCTTTCCACCAGGCTGCCGCCATCTTGCAAACGGGCAGGGTCCGTCCACGGGCATGAGGGTAGAGGGAGGTGCGTCGCCATCTTGGAGTCGGGCAGGGAACCTATGGGGCTCCATCTTGCTTTTGGGCACGTGGCTGAAAAGGCTGATTCCAACAGAGACCTTACTCCTAGGTTGGCATGCGGGGAGGTGGAGGCCGCTTAACCCGTCCCGGACTAGCCGGGGCTCCGTCTGCACTGCTGATCTCTGGTATTGTGGTCAGGGATCGCCCCCGACGGTCCTTTGTTCGCCCCAGAGCAGCAAAGCCCGACCGCAGCCCTCTGCCCTGGCCGCAGGGATGGGGAAACTGAGGTGGACCTCGCTTGCTTGCGCTGCAGGCCATCTGTAACCCCAGGACCGCTAATCAGGAATGTTCCGGTGGATTTAGGAGAATCTCTGACACATTCCCGTGGATTTGCTCCCTCCAGGACTCCCTCTTGAGCTGTGCTTTGGGCACCACGAGGGCCAGCAGCTCATCTTCCTTCGGGGGGACTGATGCCAGGGATGCCCCCCCAGAGCAGCGGGGAGGGAGGGGGACATGGGGGTGTCCCAGCCCAGGGGGAGAAGAGCGCAGCTGATGCCGGCAGAGTGTGTAGACTATCAGAATGGTGTTAAAGGGTGCCTGGGTGGCTCAGTC